ATGGGAACTTTCCAAAAATGAGATGGTTCTTTTCCTCAAAAAGACAATTTCCTTGTCAGAAAAAAGGACGTGGGGTTCTCATCTATCACATAGGCTTCACATGGGGTGGTGATAAAAAACACGGTGTCCTTGTCCTTTTTACCCAATTAAACTGTCAATTAAGGGAATTTCGCTATAGCATTAAGGGGGAAGTACTGGACAATATAGGACAAGTCCCATGACACCCAAAAGCACCAGGCAACTGTTTCAGATGTGCTCCCCCTTCGATTGTTCTTGTCCTGCTTTTGGTTTTTCGGCTTCCTTTGCTGTGTCTTTCCTAGTGTCTTTTGGTCAGCCACAACCGCTTTCGTGGGATCCCCAATTAGGGGATCGATGCTTCGTTTAGAGAGGCGAATGAACTTAAGCTTCGTGATATCACCATTAGATGCATATTGGTATACAATTTGTTCAACGGATGCCCTGTTTGAGAGCGAATTGCATTGGAAGGCCTTGCGACTGTCAAGACCAGCGTACAAACCTATCTGCTGCTTTGTCTTCTTCATGACCTGGTAGTATTCATCGTTGCTCATTGTTCCTTGCAGTCTACGAGTGGCCTGCAACAAGGGACTCGCAGCTTCACCCTCCCTCAACAATTCTATCTTCCAAGCCGGCCTACAGTAGGTCAATAGCTTATCCAGGATGTGAAGTTGAAGAGGCCACATAATGTACCCACCCAACGCAAGTCGTTCAACCAATTGGGGAAGAACCCGTGGGAAAAAGCCTTGAAGGTTATCTGCAACGTACGCACTTGGCATCCACATCCAGTTGAACTCGACTACGTCGATGCATCCGACAATCTTGGAAAGGCAAGACGGGTGATTCCAGTCGTTATGCTTGTGCCACATTGGATCCTTATCCTTTATTTTCGCCATATTAGACACCGTGTAAACCCAGTTTCCATCTTTTCTTGCCGACGCGATGCGAAGAAAATCTCTTGCCACCTGCTGACCAAAAATGCCCTTATTGTTCCGTTTGAACAGGGCAAACCACTCTTTCCACTGTTTCTTGGTGAGCGAGGCCGTAGGGTACTGCACTTGTTTGCTTTCGACTGTGGTTCCAGTCATGCCAAACCACAGCACAGTTTGTTTTGTAGGACGGCATGTACTGCAGCAACACTGGAAAGGTTCCCTTCCTTCCCCATAGTTGACCGTCAGCTCTGTCTGACAGTCAATATTCTCCCTAGCTCTAATGGAGACTCGCTCCTCGCCGTTGTGGTCTGTCCACTTGCTCAATTCACAATTCGGTCTGCAGCTGTGGTTCACAAACTGGTGTATCCCGTATCCCCTGGCATCGATTCTCTGGCCATTCATCACCAGCACGTACTGGTCGTTCTTGGTGACCGATGCCTTGCGTCTTCCTAAGTATATGATCACAAATTGACCCTCTTTCAGATCCGTTTTGCAGTAAAGTCCACGTTGGGTGGGCAACCAGGGCACTGTCTTGCACAATAGCTGGTTGATGTCAACATGCTTGAAGTATAGTAGGCACTTCGGGCATGAACTCTCGCATCGGACCTCCGTTTTGCAGAGGCATTGCGAGCTTTTGCCGTCTCTCATTTTGACTTTCCGAGCCTCTTTCTCCGTTTGCATTATACTTTTTGTCCTCCGCAACAGCAACTCGTAATGCTGCTTTCTCGATTCAAATGAGCCTTTCTTGAAGCGTTCCAGATCGGCCTCGATCTGGTGATGCATTGCCACCTCTTTGTGCTCGGTAGAAGACAACCTTGCCATCATCTGCTCGCGCTTGAATACAATAAATGTCGTTGCTCCGCCAATGTCTGTTTTGCTTGCCTTGACAGTTGTCAGCTCGGATAGTCCCGCATCGCAGAGAAGTTGCGAGTAAAAGCTCTCTCTTTTACCCTTAGCCGACACTACCAAACGAAGATTGGATGATGCCGTCTTGATGAGATCCCCCATGTGGTACATCAAGTCCGGTGGAAACGCCTCATCGAACATAATCAGTACGGTTACTTGTTTGCGGATCTGCTTGAGATCATATAGATCTCCTAGAACAAGCATTGTGCCCTGGTTGAAATCCTTGTTGTCACGGAACTCGTCATAAAGTTTGGTGGTAGCGTTGGCAGCAAGGTATGTCCGTTGGTGACAGTACTCCAAACCTAATGCTTGACACTGCAACTCGACCGACATACGTGTCACCATGGTCGATATGCCGCTACCTGCATCAATGATGCAGTCACTAGCGGAAGAAACATTTTGATCTCGGAGAACCTCCACCAAGCCCGAGATACTTTCATAAGTAACCTCGGCATAGGTGGAACTTCCGTTGTGCGCCATTTTTGTTCCTTGTCTTCCAAACTCAGCATGAATAAACTTCAGGATAGGATGGTACGGGTTGGTGGACTTCCGTAGAAGACTTCTAGCCACTGTTTTTGCCGTCTTTCTTTTTTGCAATGTAGCTGCAAGCTGGTTTTGCTTCTTGGCCTTTTCTCGCTCAGTTTTGTTAATAAAATCTGTAATGATGGAAATAAAGGTTGGAGATGTTCAAGATATGTTTAGTGCATTGAACTACTCTCTTGTCGAACGTACCCATTGAATCCGAGACAAGTGCCATGCCAGGTGGCACCCATATCTTATTCTTCAGAAGCTTTTCCAGATCGTCCGTGTTCAGTGGAAGGAACCGTTGACTAAAGCATTCATGTACTTTCGCTTTGTCGGTATTCTTCCAGTCCAGTAAAACCGAATCCAAATCTACTGGCTCGTTACTTGGGTGCAAGGTTTCCATAAGAAATTGTTTCGAACTCAAATCAAACCTCTCTAACATCTCCATCTTTATGCTTCTTTGTGCAGTAGGAAACTCAAGCGGCGCTGTTTCGGCTCTCCGTTCATTACCAGTAGCTGGGGATGTGGACGACACGGTTTCGGCTCCCAATTCATTATCAATCGCTGGTGGTGATGTCTCCACAGCAGTTGGCATTTGCGTTTCAATTGCATTTTTGGCTTCCCATTCATTATCAAATTCATTTTTGGCTCCCAATTCATTACCGATCGCTGGTTGGTTACCGATCGCTGGTGGTGATGTCTCCACAGCAGTTGGCATTTGCGTTTCAATTGCATTTTCGGCTTCCCATTCATTATCAAATTCATTTTCGGCTCCCAATTCATTACCGATCGCTGGTTCATTACCGATCGCTGGTGGTGATGTCTCCACAGCAGTTGGCATTTGCGTTTCAATTGCATTCTTTTTCGTTCTGTTTCTCGAGTCAGACGTTACCACAGGACGTGACTGCTCAAATTTGTTTTGGTGCTGCTTGAACTTCTCGCGTAAGTAGCTAGTTATCACTTCGTCTTCTGGGTGAAACAGCGGCCTCAATACCTTCGCGAGGGAGCTGGCATCATGGCATTGTTGCCGATATTTTTGTTTGTCTGCCTCCCCTTTCTTCCTTCCAATTAATTCAAGCATGTCTTTGACCTCAAAACCCTTCCACCAGAGGTCGGCTAGAATATTTTTGGATGCCCATGACTTTTGAATGAGTAGTTCCAACTGACGTTTTGGGCATACTTCCCTTTCCAACTTATACTCATGGCCAAATAGTTCTTTGATTTTCCGTTCCTGCTTTTCTTTCAAGTAAGCCAGGATCACTTCGTCTTCGGGGTGGAGACTCCGCCTGAACACCTTTCTTAGGGCGCTGGCATCACGGCACTGTTGCCGATATTTCTGTTTTTTGGCTTCCCCTTTCTTCCTTCCAATTAATTCAAGCATGTCTTCCATGTCAAATTTGTAGCGCTCATCCTTTCGCTTTCTCCATATTGTTTCCAATGTTGCGGCTGACATCTTTCCCAGTTATTGCTGTTGAATGCGTACCCTTGTTGTGGAAGTTTGGTTTTAGCGAGCCATCAGCATTGGTTGTCAGTACTCCACCCAACAGCATTTTTTGGACATCATAACTTGTCATCACAACAAAAGAGGATGGCCACGTTGCTGCTAGCCAACACGGAAAGCTTGACAAAACTGGTGGCTCAATTCAATTGCTTTCTCTTAGATAAGGAGGGCGAGCCAGATGCCTACCGAAAGCCCACCGAGTTCACCAGTGCATTGAGTTTGATTGCAACAAAAACGATCGAACACACTGAGTTGGAAGGACAAATGGAGTACAGCGCAATCGAAAAAGCAATTGAAACATACGGAAGATGGCTGTTCTACTCCGAAAGCTCATGCTCTGACTTGGTGATGGCGACGGACAAGAGAACGGAGCCTTTTGAACCATTAGAAGAAGTCTTGAACACTTGTGAAGTGGGAGCGCTTACAAGTAAACCTTGGACGCAACTTGTCTATATCAAAGAAAATATTATCATCATTACAGGGCAACTACAGGGAGAAGCCAACGATCAAAAGATCCGACTCAAACTCCGTTCGCTTTTTGAGTCCCCAGAGGTTGACATCAGCGCGTTTCTCAGCGTTGTAAGAAAGGTTCTTCCAACGGAAAACGCTTGCATGGCAGCCCCACAGTTTCATAGGGCCGCCGAAGAACGGGAGATCGTCCCCATGTTGTTATCCCTAATTGTGCAGGCCGCCTGTATTCCTGGAGAGCTCGACAATAGTCTCCTCCAGGAGCCGGCACTGGAGAATATCCAACGTTTCTTCTATTTGGCGTTCAAACATGGAACGTCAACTCTAACGGGGCCCTCCGATAGTTGGTACGCATGTCAGTACTGCACCAGGTGGGTATTGTTCCATGCTGGAATCCTTCCTATGTACGTGGAACGGGTAAAGGATCCAAACGTGGTTGTCACATGTGGGGCATCTGGATACGGCTCCATGTGCGATATGCTCCACAACAGCAGAACTGAGCAACAAAGAGCTAATGAGGAGCTCAAAGAAGCTAGGGCGGCCCTGCAAGAAGCATCGAAGAAGCGTTCTCGAGACGAAGAGAACCTCGATGGTTTACGGGCGGAGCTCCAAAATGCCAACGATGAAATGGTTGCAAAGCAGCGTCGTATCGAGGAGCTAGTACGCCAAACCTGTGTTCTAGAGGATCGGTGTAGTGTGCTGGAGCAAGATCCAGAGAGACACAGTCATGCCGAATTTCGTGCGCTTAACGAGGCATTGGAAACGATGAAGGCGCATGCCGACATTGCCCACCAACACAATAATGATACTGTAGGAGAGTTGGTGCGGTACGAACAACAACTAAGAAGAATGGATACACTTGTTGACGCTCATGTAAAGCAATACGGCAACCCAGAAGATATTGTGAAGATCTTTAGACAGCAGGAAGCCATCATCAGGAGTCTGCAGGATAGGATACCTGCGGATTCCGCGGCGGCTAGTCATATTGGTGATGTCAGATTGGCTCAGGATTCCAATCCTCAAGGGGAAGGCGACCCCTTCAATGTTGACGACGCCCCGGATCAAGGAAACAACGCTGACAATGGTCCGGAAGGGAACTTTGACAACGAAGTAGAAGGTGATCCTGCTCCCGACAATAGTCAAGAAGGTGATGATGTTGCTCCCAACAATGGTCAAGGAAGCAACGTTGACAATGGTCCAGAAGGGAACGTTGACAACAAAGTACAAGAAGGTGATCCTGCGCCCGACAATAGTCAAGAAGGTGATGATGTTGCTCCCGACAATGGTCAAGGAAGCAACGTTGACAATGGTCCAGAAGGGAACGTTGACGTTGACAATGAAGTACAAGAAGGTGATCCTGCGCCCGACAATAGTCAAGAAGGTGATGATGTTGCTCCCGACAATGGTCAAGGAAGCAACGTTGACAATGGTCCAGAAGGGAACGTTGACAACGAAGTACAAGAAGGTGATCCTGCGCCCGACAATAGTCAAGAAGGTGATGATGACGATGTTGTCGTGGCAATAGGCAGATACGTACCATGCCCTTTCACTACCATCTCGGGCATGCCTTGTAGGGCTTTTGGTAATGTCAGCGTTTGTTATCTTGACAGGCCGAGATTGACTACCCATGTCAATTGTCCTCTTTGGTGGCCAAAGGCGGAATCAACTTTGGTTAACGCCGTATTTACAGTACCGAAGTACCTTTCCGTGCTTTGCTCGCAAAGGATGAAAGAAACGAGCGAACAAGGCGCACTACAGAAGTTGGTCAAGAAGATTGACGATCATGAATTCGTCGAAACGTTTATTCTAAGCCAGCTTTCCCGGGCAAAGCATGCTGCCGTGAATCATTGTGAGAAAAAGAAAGACTTGCGTTTTCACGTGACAACAGCAGTGAAAGTCGAAATGGAAAAGGCCTACGCAGCCTTGCATAACAAAGCAAGGCCCACCCATGGCGCCCCCCCTGTTACACGTCGCGGTGACGGAACCTACATCATCGCGAAGAACTTTGCAAGCCCCTACCTCACGAACATGTTGCAAAGCATGTCCGACGATCTAACTCTGACGATTACTTGTTCGGGTGGCAAGCAAACCAAAGCGAATTATCTTTTGAAAAGACTCTCGAATCATGATGATATCTGGGGAGGTAGATGCCTTTTTCCCAATGTAAAGCTGGTCCTGCAAAACGATTCGGAACTTTTTTGTGAACCGAGACGGAGGCCCTCAAGTCGAAAACGAAAAGCGGTACCTGCCTCTGCACCCCTAGCAGCCCAAGCTGCGCATAGGGTAACAACAAAGGGCGTAGCGGCCGATCCTGAAGCGGCCCCTGCACCAAAAGACCAAGAAACAGGGGGCGTAGTGGCCGATCCGGAAGCTGCGGAAAAGGTAACAGCAGTGGCCGATCCTGAAGCGGCCCAAGCTGCGCAAAAGGTAGAGGCCGATCCGGAAGCTGCGGAAAAGGTAACAACAGTGTAACAGCAGTGGCCGATCCTGGAACTGCGGAAAAGGCAACAACACAGGGCGATCCTGAAGCGGCCTCTGCTTCAGAAGACCAAGAGGGCGTCTGCACGTGGGCAACGCACCATATTGTGTAGGACGGTTCATATTTAGAATTACTCTACTTATAACTATACAAGTACTCTATTTATTAATATGCCTCGATTACGAGACTATGGCCCCTTTCTACAGAGCATCTATCAGCCAACTATTCTTCCGATGGCCTGGCATATGTGCAATGAGGTTGAACTCGTTTACCAGTTCATTGAAATACACCGCACTGTTTCGGTTGCTATTTGGGACCAGATTAGCAACATATTGTATCGCCGGACAGTTCCAGATTCGCATCAATAGTTTATCAAGTTCCGAGATTGTTAGTCGAATAATTTTATCAGCTTTCACCTTCCCGTGTTTCTTCTGGAGTTTGCCACGGCGGACAACCATCCACGATAGCCAGCATTTTGCTGCAGTTATCTGCCGTGTATGCTGTGACTGGGTGAAGCTTCGAAGCTCGTGTCATTGATATCGAAAAGAGGATGTCGACTTCGGAATCTATATCCGCACCAATAGTGCGCTCTATCTTGTCCATACGTGGGATGAGGTTCCACAAATATCTACCAGCGTGTTTGACAATGCAGTGTCTCCTAAGTAATTGGTACGTCTGTACTTTGTTTTTTATACGTGTATAGATAATATATAACGCATTTTGTCGGTCTTTACGTTACGTGTGTACATACTGGATTTTCTACACGTTTTTTACATGTTCCGTGCCAAATTTTTTGACGCTTGTCCGCTTTTTTGACGC